GGGGGGGGGGCTCCGGCACCATACATTTATGTGGGACGGCTTGGGTCTTGAGTTTCGGATTTAGTCCTTCCCCTCGCCCTCGCTCCCCACTCTGCGGAACAGAGGCCGCTCCGCACAGGCACTTAAGGCTACCGGCCCTTGTGGTTGGGAGATACCATTGCGGGGCGGGAGGGTCGGGGGGCGGCGGGGGGGGGGGGGGGGGGGGCAGAGCGCACGGCGCACAACACCCACCTGTTCCAAACGACTTTACACGTTGCTTCCATGTATGCATATAGTCCGCACGATTCAGATATGCCGGATACCGACACAATTTTGCCTTTCTTACGTACATACAAACCGTGCCTCTGTATGTTTCGGGCTTGATATGTCTTTAGATCTGGGGCCGAATATCGGGTTGATACCAACTTGTGTTTTCAATTACATGCAAGATGGTAATCGAGTTGATGTTCATGGTTCATAACTACTCAAGACAGGAATCACGTGCTCCATTTCCAAGTGTCGTGCAGGCAACATACAACCTTGTACAACGTGCGCCACCCCAATTACTACAAACACCCGGCCCCTTTTCTGACTGGTAACAGCGGTGTCTGTGGCATGCTCTCGTGTCGAGCTGCTTACTCGCAAGTAGAACAACCGTTCGTCTTAGAGAACTCCTTCGCGTAGGAGTGTACGAAGGTGGTGGGAAACTATGCTGTTAGGGGGGTGCCTCGAACCTCACGAACCACTGCAACCCCCCCCCCCCCCCCCCCCAACTCGCGGCTCAACACATGAGCAACACTCAAAATTCGGAGTGTTTCGCCCCCTCCACGCCAAGCAATAGATGCCAGAAAGTTGAAATTCGTTCCTATCAGTTTCAGGGTTTGCAGGGCTCCTGTTGCTGTGCTACTGTGGCTCCTACTGCAAGATGGTGTTTGCCACGCGGGTGACCCCGCCGGCCTCATCCCCCAGGCCTTGCACTCCTTCGATGCCGAGCCCCGCTTGTCTGGAGAGGGTCTGCTCAGGCCCGTTAACTGGCGAGGCATGGGACAACACTGGCCTTTGCACCTCGGAGGGTGGCCTCGGCATTCGTCATGTTCACCTGCATGCCAACGCTGCGTATGTTGCGTCCCTGGTACGAGGTGAAACAAAGAGCTTAAAAACAAGAAAAAGGCAGCAGGATGCAGCAGGTTCACGAACTAAGTCAGCTATTGAAACTAGATGCCGACTTGCCGACAGCTTCCCGCTGCCATGAGCTTGACTACGCCTTCGCCACGTGGGGGCCTACAACTCGGCCATCGCCGACTTCAACCAACGGTTCTCGCCCGCAGATCATGCTGCGCTTCCGGTGCCGCCTACCTTCCNNAGCAGCTGCTGTCTCGGGCGCTGGACCGCGTGACTGCGCTGGGCGCACTTCCAGCTGCAACGCCAGCCGCATGCTGGCTCCTGGCTGCAGGCGCTGCCTTGCGAGGCCCTTGGTCTGCATGTCGAGGCACCGCTTTTCCGGATCATGATCCGTCGGCGCTTGCGCCTCCCCGTCGCGGATGAGGACCTCCCGTGCCCGCTCTGCGATGGGGTCATGGACCGGTTCGGCGACCATGCGTTAGTGTGTGCCTGCGGAGGCGACCGGCTAAACGTCACAATCGCCTTCGTTCCCTGCTGGCCAGTCGCGCAAAGGCCACCGGCTTGAATCCCGAAGTTGAAAAGCTTGTGCCCACGGGGGCCCCGAGGACAGATTGCGGCGGGGTGGTGGCCGCAGACCCGCCGACGTCTGGGTTGGCATGCAGTTGGGGCATCCATGGGCCAGCCGCCTTTGATCTGCCTGTGACTTCTGTGATGAAGTCATCACGGATGCAGGACAGCCAGCTCGGGACTACGCGGCCCGCAAGCGTGCGCATCTGAACACACAGGCTTTGTGCGCGGCCCCGGGGTTTTCAGTTTGTGCCGCTGGCGCCCCGCACCTGGAAGGAGCTGGGTGAGCAGCTTTCGGCCCGGGCCGGCGACCCGACATCTGAAACTGCTGAGCAACTCCCGCAAGCACTGGCGGTGACATTGCAGCGTGAGAACGCACGCGCAGTGCTTCGCCGCCACCAGGGCCTGCCTGACGCGGACTTCCGCTTCCTCCAGGAGCCCTGAGTGCTAGGCTGCGGCGCATTTCGCCTGCTCGCGCTTCGTCTTTTCTCCCGCCTGAGTCGGGGGGCGGGGGGCGGGCCTCGCACCCTAGCAGATTTCACCGTGATAGGGACGCCGACCTATTCTGGAGCAACCCCAGCAGGGAGAAGGTTTACAGGATGTTCTTGAACATTACAGCGTTTGGTGCGTCTTTGTACGCAAATGAACCACCCACACAATGCGGATCTTCGTGGAGGGGGGCGGGGGCGAGCTTTCTGGTCAATTTTGCATACTTACAATGAGAACACATTGTCTCTGCGTGTGTGAGCATGTGTCCGTATTTCTATGTTGATTGCATAGTGGCATAGTCCATGCACCACAGCCATCATTTCCACCCTGATGATGGACCTGGTTATCCAGTATGTAAGTAGGTCGGTCGGTTCGTAAGCAAGGCACCCGGTCACCCGACGTTATATACCGTACTACCGTACCACGCCAGCCCTTCCCCAGGCTGCTCATGCGGATACACATGCGCAGGCATGCATGCATGATTGCATGCGTGCCTGTGATGCATTCTGTACTCACATAGTTCGCATCGTCTGGCATATAGTGGCATATTATGGCACAGCCACCAACGCAGGAGGGAAGGTAAGGATATGAGAAACACGAGACTTCACGTCTAAGGGCTGCTCGAGCAGCTGTTAGCCGGCTCAAGTCGGCCCTAGGTCTCTTGCTGAGGCGGCTGTTTGGGGTGTCCGGTGGAGGTGTTCATGCTGAAGCTTCAGAAAATGGTTTCATTGGCTTCGGCGGGTTGCGCAACCTCCGCCAACCACCCTCTGGTCGCTTCAGCGAGTTGTCAGACTCACTCGACGCACCTTCGACCAAAAAATCGCGCTCTGAAGATATTCTGCATACAGGGAAGACTGGAGGGAAAACTGGAGGGCTGAGAGGGCTCCTGAAGATTCTTACCTCCTGTCTCGACGCCTCTCCAAAGGATTGAGAAATGCCAACGACCAATTGGATCAGATCCAGAAGAGCCTGGAGGCCGCGTTGGAGTTCGCCTTACAGGAACGGGGAAGGGGGTGGAAGTGACGGCTGCAGGCATACTTGGAGACGAAGCGGGCCTCTTTCCCGCTGCCGCCTTGAGCTTCAGTCAGGGCAGTGCTTGGATCTCAGAGTTTCAACTCGCTCAGGAGATTTTACTTCCTCTCCGATGACGAGCTGCTTAGCATCATGTCTCAGACAAGGCCTGGGACAACGCAGCAGCTGCAGCCACTAAACCCTCCTAAACATAATGTTGCTATTCCGGCTGCCACAAGAAAGCTTTGTTGCGATCGGTTCGAACAGCAATTCCGGCTCCGCCTGCGCACAATATGTCGGACCGTGTGAACATCGTGAGCTCGCGCGACTGCACGACACGAGCTGATGCAGCACAGGTGACTGCGCAGAGGCAGCCACTTTGCCAACAAGAGTAGTGCGCGGGTTCTGTGATGATATCCTGACTCCGCGGTTCGTTAGGGGCCTGGATGTTTGGTTGCAAAGGATAACTTTTTCTGAGATATTGGTGGCCAGAGTTTGCGACATGACAAAGTCGCAGTCTCGCCCAGATCGGGCTGTGTTCGACCATGGGGGCCCACCGAGATCCGAAGCTGCCGATCAAAGTTTCGAGGCCGCAGGCCTACGACCACATTTGGTGGGTGTCGCCTTGACAAGCTCGACGCTCTCTCGAGATGGTGGAAGCACCCCCCAAAGACACGTGAGCCACGGCATAGAATCTAAGGCACTCGACAACTGGCACGCCTCGCGGTGTACGCGGCGTCATTGGTTCCGACATGTTCCGACATTGTGCCGGACGTGCTACGGCTGGCAAGCAACCAACGCTTCCCCAGCCTGAGGAGTTTGAGCCCAATTGAGCAGATTTTTGGGGAGTCCATGCGTGCTCCATACCAGCTTCAAAACGCATCGGGAGCCACGTTAGCCGCAGATGGCACGGCAGCTAGCACGATTCGAAAATTTAGATGAGGATTACCACCACCGGTAGCAAGGTTTGCAGTGTGCTTGCTGCTAGTTTGTCAGGCAAGGAGGTTAGGAGTCTGGCTAGGGACTGTCTGAAATCGCATTTTGGTGAATGTCAGGTCCTTAGACACAAGTGCGAACAGAATGGTGTATCGCGGCCTTGCAGGAATCCGGAAGCGGTCCAGGAGCACCTGGGTGACCTGGCACCTCATGGACAGTCCACAATGTGGCCTCCGCCTGGCCTCCGCTAGAGTCCATGCTACCCCGAAATCCACCCAAGGCCTCCGAGACCCGATCTTTTTTTTTTTCCTCGGATTGCCAGCTACAGCCATGTGGGACCGACTTTCTTGCGGCCGTAGACTCTCTTGAAGATGCTTCAGATGGAAGTGCACGTTTTTCGAGTGCCGCAGGCAGCCTCTCCCTGCCATCCAGGTAAGTGCTTCGATGCAATCAGCAAAGTCACTTTCACCGAGGAGGGACTGCCGGCTTGATGGCGCATGTCCTGTTCGGCTGCATCGTTTTGATTAAAGTGCGTCTTGCATCTTGGTCCATCAGGTCAAGTTCAGGGATCTAGGCTGTTGCCAGGAAGACCCGCGTACAGAAGCCATGCTTTGTGCATGCCAGCCCCGTCAACCCGGCAGGACAAGAAGAAAGACATCGTCGACATGAACGACATGATCAAAGAGAAGGCACGCGGGTACTCGTGTGACCGGTTGTTGCACATGTTTTCAGACATTGTGCACGGCATGTACGACTGGCTCTTCAGGTTCACTTCGTCAGCCCAGTGCAGACAATGGGCTCTCCGGTCGAGCGGTGGTCGGGTCCCTAGAAGGGACGACAGATGACCAGACTTGAGGCATAAGCAGGGCAGTTGACCATTGCGCAAGTTTCAAGCATTGCCTGTCGCGCCTTGTGGCTCTAGGCTCGGCCAGATCGAAATGCGCATGGTGGAGAGCCTTCAAGCTCTGACGAAGGCCTCGAAACTTCGCGTCCCATGCCCTGAAGCCTCTAAGCACCTGCTGAACCCTTAGGCTGAAGCGTGATTCTCAGGTAGGGCTCTAGGTGGCTTCTTCTGTGGGATTGTAAGCCGCAATTCCAGCAGGCCGCCGTGGAAGCATACCCAGAGGACGCCAGGGGGAGGTGTGGAGGAAGTCCACTCTGTGCAAAACATCATGCATCTGCGAATTCTCGCATGATGGTAACTCCAAATCCTAACTCTCCGAAGTTGACACAACCTCTAAACTTAAACTCGCAGCAGTGCAAAGACAGAGGCTTCGATGATATGTTTTCTCAGTCAAAACAACTTGGGTTAAAAACTCCTGGGAACACATCTCGCAACGAGCATTATTGCAGGGTTGTTGCAAGCTGACGCGCAGTGTCGGCTGCCAGAAAGACAGGAGGTGGGAGGACACCTCATTGTTCAGATCTTCGCATGTGTGGACTCAAGCGATTTAAAGCAAATTAGTTCAACTGAAAGGCTTGGCAGTAGAGTAGCTTGGGTAAGCCGCCCGATGTTAAAGCGAGCGAAAAGCACCAACCACGGCCTACGGCCTATGGTCGTGGATGCTTCTACCTATGCTCATTGACTCGCGGGGGCTCGCAAGCTACAGGCTTTGGACCCTCGGGTCTGCGAGCAGTACCTGCACAGCTGAACAGCTGTACCTCCCACACCTCAGGCACGGCCATCAAAGCTAAGTGGCTGGAGGTACACGTCATACACACATCCGCAGAACAACATGGAACATGCCGTCCTTGCGCCCTTGTCGCATTTAAGAGGCCTTATCCAGAGAGTGAGCCACAGAACCAGAATCCTCCTGAAACCTTCCAGGATGGTATCGTCCGGAAGGACTGGCTCTTCGGACCGTTCCCTGCGCAAGCAGTGCGCATGGCTGGTTTTTCCCCCCCCCCCCCCCGTCTCTTTCCTTTCGGGATCGGAGCTCGACTTGCCGGCCAGGCCCTGGCCGTTGACCAGATCATGTGGACGAAGTGCGCGGAAGACGCGCTGAACCTCGTGGAGAAGGGGAACCAAGAGGCCCCGGGCCCCGGAGGGGTTCGGGCCCTGCATCTCCCACGAGCTGCTATTTTTGGCTTTTGCTAGACTTGTTGATGCGTCTGTTTTCAGCCTTTCGGCTTGTCCGCCAGGCGATGCGGGCCAACATCAACTTCACCAACAAGCAATTGGAGCAGCAGCCTCAATGGTTCGTGCGCACTTCACACCCGAAGCTTGGGTGTGGCTCAATGCCAGGCACAGCGTCGAACTCGTGCGCTTGGATCTGACGAAGCTCCAGCGAGACCGAGCCCCGGTAGACAGGGCACCCTGTGGCTCCTGTCATGGCCCAGGTTTACAGGTGTTACGCAAGGGGAATAGGTCCGCAATAAAAGGGAGCACCATTTGCCCTGTCTTTCCGCAGAGATCGCAAAGCATGGATGGGGCTTCGAGGATCATGGCAGGCTGTATCTTTCACAGCTATTTACAATCTTCCACCTGCCAAGCGATTTCGCTTGCTCAGGTGCTGATGGGCGCGCTGATTGTCTTGGATGTGCGATGCTTACAGCTTTGTCGAGCTGCGCCTTCATTGGGTTCCGCGATGTTCGAAGGCGACAATCCTCCCAAGAGCCCTGCATGCTGTTCACATGCTCCGTAAGTTGCTGCAGAAGAAATGCCTGTCAGAACTCGGGTCAGGACTGGAAGGCTGCTTGCGTTTGCTGCTTGTGAAGGTCCACGGCATCTCCGTCCTGGAGCAGATTGACGCTGCGAAGTGCAGGCACAAGGAACTGCCCATCCCGACAGCCTCTGAATTCATAAGTTTGTGGCTCTCAGACAAAGAAAGCATTGAGGCATCGAGATTGCGGCATGTAACTGTGACGGTTCCTTGACCTTCAGAGCCTTTCAGAGCAGTCGGTGTTGAATTGCAGGTCTGTCAATGACTTCGATTGGAGCAAGCAGCTTCGATACTACTGGGCCATGGAGGAGGCGAAGTTTGCGTCTACGGGCACCGATCGTATTCCTTCGTTGAGTTCCCGGTGCATCCACCTTAGGCACAAGAGATCCTTCTTGAGCAAGCCGCATCTGAGCATCTGTGGTGAGCGCTTGCGTGCTTGGTCAGGTGCTGATGTGCTTGCCCAAGAGCTTCAAGTGCTGCGAAAGGGCGTGCTTTGGCTTTGGCCTTCGCCAAGGTCAGATGGGACACGCGCCTCCGATACGTGCATCGTCAAGCAAACCATCGCCAACATTCGGTGCCCCGGGCCTCGCATCCCAACACCGGGCAGTGCTTGTAAAAATCTTGCCAGGTACTCCTTCGAGTACCTAGGCAACACTCCACGTCTGGTTGTCACGCCCTTGACAGACAAGTGCCGAGCCCAGTAGCGCGAGGGTTGCTATCCAGTCTGTCCTATGTCACTTTGGGTCCTTTGGGTTTGGGTCAGGCCGCTTCGGGTCGACTAGTGAGGAGCAGAAGAGTGTGCGAGGGCATCTGATTGTCCACCGCCGTTCGACACACTTCAGATTGGTGAGGTGCTACATGACGCTGACCGGCGCTATCCACCTCAATTATGGAGGCCGGAACGACCTTCGTTGGGGGTGCAGCTGGCCCAAGATTCAAGCCGTCCCAGGCGTGGCTTCTCCAATCGCTAGTCAGCCAAAACCCACTCGTAGAGTGCCCAAAACAGAGGAGCCTCCAAAGCCCTTTCTTGGAGCGCTTTGAGCTCTGCTCTCTGCGCCCCACTGGGCCTGGTCCGGAGGTGCTCCTGCCGGACCCGCGGGCACGGGGAAGACCGAGACCACCAAGGATAGCCTCGTATGGCTTCTTTCATTTCGGATACGTGGTTTGCAATTTCTGTATCAGCGGTCAGTGTGCAACAGGAGGTGGGTTTGTGAAGATGGCCTCGCCGCTAGGGCGGGCCTTGACCCGAAAATGCACGCCACGACTCGCGACCTGCACTGAATAGTGGCATCTGAGAAGTTGTGCAGGGACCTCCCCTTATAAGCGGACTATGATCAAGAGTGGACGGTAATCACCCTGCGCATCCTGACCACCTCACCCTCGAGTCGAGTCACATCACTTCGCCGCAACTCGATTTCGACGTGAAAGCCGTGCGGCCACACAAGAGTTTTTCGCGCGTGTTCGCCCTGTTTGCGGGCCTTTGTTCTCAATCAATTGGCTCCTGGGTTCGTCGCGGGAAAGGACGGAGACCCAAGAGGCGCAATGGAGCGATCATTTCTCGAAAGTGTTGAACCAGGAAACCCGGGTCGTGATGCGAGCAACACGATGTTCAGTGATTTGCCAAAGCAACGTCAGCTTCCTCACAAACGGGGCCTGGATGCGTGCAGACTTCATGGCCGGAACAGCCTGCATGTTGCAGGCAGGACATAGCCATGCATGATGCAGACTTGCTGAAGAAGACTCCGTCGTCGCTGTTTTCAAGGTCAGTACCGCAGGGCTGCTGGTTACCAGGTTGTTCTAATCCTCTCGCTCCGAAAGGCAACTGCAACGGGTATGAGGAAGGGGAGGCAAACTGCATGGATTACCATTCGGCAATTTTCAGTGTTACCACGTTGCATTTTGTCGCAGAGTGAGAGTCGAGTCGGGACAAGAGGCATTGAGTCTTTTGTCGCATAGAGAGCAGTATTGCAGTCAGTTTTCTTCTTGTGCCATGATTACCGCCATCAGAACTACTGTGCAAGCGCTCATGACATCATGTCATCATGTCATTTACACCTGAGGGCATGCCGTGATCGGCAGAAGCCAGACTGGTTGGCCGGATTGACGACTGGCTCAAGCCTGCGTGCAGCAAAAGAGGCTGGCGCTTGCTCCAGTGCAATCGCACTGGTAGCGGAGCGAAAGCTCCAGGTCCTTTGGGGCCGCCCGCTTCGCCGCCATGGCATCTGGCAGCTTATGGATGGCCTGCGGTTCACGCGCCTCCTCGATGCAGCTGGACAAGGGTTCTCCTCGACAGAGGGCCGCTATGGGGTGCCCAGGTTCAATGGCGACCCGAGTCGCACGGAATGGACCTTTCGAGTCCAAGCCTTGGAGAGGAAGGAGGTCTCGGACAAGGCAGCAGCACGCGCGACTACAACAGTGAGCTGGATAGACACGGCGGGAACCATGTTGGCAGATGGGCTAACAAAGCGGATGCGAAGCCCGCAGCTCCTAAACATGCTGCATACAGACATCGTGACAGCAAGCTTTGTAAAGGTCGACAGTCCACGGCCAAAGAAAATTTTTGGAGGGTGAAAGCAGCACTTATGACATGATGTCATCATGAGACTGCTTGACCGGATTGACGGCTGGCTCAAGCACGCGTGTAGCAAAAGAGGCTGGCGTATACCCCAGCGTAATCGCAACTATTATATTTCGTGTCCCTACCAGGTCGCAACCATGGTTAAAACTATTTTGCTTGGTCTTTTCGTTGCTTGTGTGCCTCTTAAACTTGCAATTTCAATGATTGCTTTTGCTAGTTTTCCAGCGGTTTTGTCACTTTGAAGATTATAGCAGCCTGGTGCAAACTCATAAGTGGGTGCGACCACAGGAATGAAAGGTGGGGAAATTCTCATCAGACCTTATCGGGTCCTCTGTGAGAGAGGCTTGCAAAGCTCTGTTCCGGCCCCGACCACTCAGTCCCATACCGACTTGCGAACGGATCCAAAAGTGGGGGCTGGGAGAACGAGTACACCCCTTGACAAAGCGCGTGTCCATACCAGACAGCATGACAAATCGAACAAGTGCCCCTTTTCTGGTCGAGGATGGTCATGCATTGGTTTATCAGGCTGCTTGCAGCAAGTTCGCACAGCTAGCTGATGGCACCAACAACAAAGACAGAAACACGAGCTTGCCATGAAGGATCTAAGCGAATATGACGTTTGAGGAGCTGCTTGTCGAAGTTGCGATTGCCACTGCGGAGAATCAACACCCCGAAGACAGAGAAAGAAGCAGAGCACGGAGTGAGAAAAAAACGGCCAGGGCGCAAAGACTAAGGCCGGAAGCCCCCGAACAGTCCAACGGGTGACCAACGGCAGAGTAGAGCCGGTTAGGCTACGAATCCAAAAGCTCACCCCTAGCTGCGCAGGATCTGGGCAAAGCTCTGGCGGTTCCCGTCATCGTCTTCAATTGCTCCGACGGACGGGACAGGGGCTGCTGCTCAGTAGGCGTCTTGCCCGCCGGAGTCCGCTTCTTCGGCAGAGGCTTGGACTACAAGATCATGGGCCGCTTCTTCAGCGGCCTGGCTCAGGCCCCCCGCACGACGCTCCCCGCGACCCCGCTCCCCGGTGATGCTCCTCGCCGCGTTGGCCAGGCCGGCGCCTGGGCTTGCTTTGATGAGTTCAACCGCATCCAGGCGCCCCGCGGTCTTCGGATCCCTTTCTTGCGAGAGAAGCCATCTTGCACACGTCTGAAGCTCGTGCAGTGCAAAAAGACATCACGCAGGCAACTGAGGATCGGGGAAACCGTGGTAGATGTATGGACGTTATAGGGCTTGATATGATGGAAGCCTGTTGGAGCTTGCGGGTGTATCATGACCGCGCAGTTGCTCCCGTGGCTCAGGTGGAGGTGTTGAGTGCCAGAGCCCCAGGACTCCCGCCGCTGTTGTCCAGCTTGATTTGTGCGAAGCCGGACAAATGCGTGGTTTGCACAGCTCAGCGCCGAAGCATTCATCTGCGTGTCGCCTTCTTCCAAGCCATCGCTCGGCCGCGAAGTCTGAAGCTTGAAGCCTCAGGTCATTGCCCAGCAGATGCTCACGGTCACCCACGCCATCCGGGCTCGCAAGGAGTCGCCCGAAAGACGCTCCGCAGTCTCCGCAGCCTCCGCAGAGCCTCCGCAGCCTCCGCTCTCCGGCGCTCTCGCGCGCCGCTGCCGCTCAGGAGACCTTCGAGTTCGTGGGTCGCGAGATCCCGCTGAACCCACGCTTCGGCGCCCGGGGGCCCAAGCCTGGGGCGCGCGCGCAATTCTGCCTGTGGGCTCTCTGCAAGTTTTGGGAAGTGGGGAGGCCGAGGAAGACCCGTAGAGTCTAGAGACTCAGTCCTTCTGTGGTGACAAGGTTTTCATCACGATGAATCCCGGCTACGCTGGCCGTGCTGAGCTGCCGGACGGCCCTGAGCTGCTTTTGCTGTTTAATGCTGTTTAGTTTCGGAGCTCAGGGGTATGCGCCGAGGAGGAACTACACCCGAAGTTTCTAGTGCATGTGCAGCGTCACGGTGCAGGACAACCTGAAGTCCCTCTTCCGCCCTGTGGCCATGATGGACGCTCGTCTTGCATCAAGGCACTATAACACTGACCCATAGCAACCCACAATACTCTCTCGCAGAGCCAGCGTATGCCAGCGTGCTCTCTCCAACTCCGACTTCCCGCTGCGCGCCGCCGACTGGCTGAGGTCCCTGACTACTGCCTCATTGCGGAGATCATCCTCTACTCTGAGGCACATCAGCTCGCCATGCGGCCATGCAGCCAAGCGACCGGTGCCCCGGATTTGCCAGGGCTTCGGAAGCGCCACGGCCCTCGCGCGGAAGATGGTGTGGGGCCCGGTGCTGTGTCGCTCGTGGCTGCGTGGCCGTCGCTTGATGTCGCTTGCGTGGGGACTGCTGACACAGACGCGCCACCGCCACCGAGGTGAACCTTTACAGCCTCTCCAGTGAGCAGCTCTCCAAGCAGGAGCGCAGACGGAGCCACTGCCGCCATCCGCCGCCATCTGCGTAGTGACGTGCACGGTGTACATGGTGGTGCTGCGGAGCGCTCCTTTCGCGATCGGATGCAGATCGCTGATAGAAGCAGGGAGCGTAGGCGCGTAGGCTCTGTGTGGTGTCAGCCTGTTTGATGCAGCCTTTCTCCACTGGGTGACTTGAACTTGAGAGATTCCTCTCGGCCTGGCTCTGCGCTTTGCTTGGTTTGAGCGCGATGTTTTTCCCTGTTTCTCGCAGACAGGACCACTATGACTTCGGCATGCGAGCTGTTAAGTCGGTCCTGGTCATGGCCGGCCAGCTCAAACGCAGCTCAGCGAGCAGCGCAATGCTTTGTGTCCAGATGGAGACCATCCCACAGTGTCCGCAAGACGAACTTGATAGCGTCGTTTTCGTCGTCATGCCCTTCATTTTCCTGTTCACCGTCATTGGTCATCATGCAAGGCTTTTCACCTTGGGTCTTCACACTAGCCATCATCATCGACCTCCTCGTTGCGATCATCCTCATCACCTTCCGAAGCAGCGAGTGAGAGAGATAGGCACAGAAGTCCAACGTCGAACCATGCTCAAACAAAGCCAGCCTTGCTTCCGGAACACTTGCACAGAAAGCATGGATGGGCAGCGGAGCTGTCAAGCCATGTAAGCCATGTGGGAAGCCATCGTCCCAAAGCCCAAGCCAAGCAGGTCTCGGCCGGGTGTTCAGGGCATTTTCTTGTGTCTGAGTCATGTGTCGGGTGCCAACAGAGAGCATTGAAGGCAAATACCCTGCTTTGGTGGAGGCCTGGCTGGGTCATGTGCCTCCAACAGCTCCCGGATGTCCAGACACTTGCTGACCGTCGCAGGATGTCACTTTGATCCGTGCCTTGCGCGACTCGAACGTGCCGTGGCATGGGTAAAGGGAGACTCGCAGTGTGGAGATCTGGGTATGCAGGTGATCATGAGTGTCAGAAGCATCCGGAACTGTTGTGCCAACTCTTGCCCTTCATTCCGGCGCAATGCTGCCGCATTTTTTTGGAGAAGGGGTGTTACAGGCTCCATAAGTTTGGCTTAGAGGCCGTCCCGACAAAAACGTAGAATGCATGGCCCAAGGTGCCGAAGTTCTTGTCGTTCGACCTGCCGCTTTTCTTCGGAATCATCAGCCAGTGGCCCAGCACACTTGTCTGCACGCGGCAGGTAGTCTATGGTAGTCTCTGTTCACAGCGATCGCCTGTTCGACTCGCGTGATGCAGTGCTCCCCGTAGCATCCGGATTGGATGTTACTTCGTGATGCATTGACACTTCAGGTGACCTGTACCCAGAAGTGGACGTTCCTTACGCGGGGGCCCTTGTGAAGCTTGCAGTGGGACTTCAGGTATCAAATCCCCTGCCGGTCCCTCGTGTCACCCTGGGTTGCTCCTAAACTCCTCAACGCTCAGTGAGCCAACTAAACTCCAAAACGGTCACAGCCGCTTTTCAATGTCAGGTGGACTACGGGAGCTTGCAGAAGGAAATCGAGAACCAGCTGCGGCTTTCGAAGCTGCAGGCGTGCGGCGCGTGTGCTGAGAGTTCTGACCGCCGAAAGGGGCGGCCCTCTCTGCTCCCCTCCCCTCTGCTCGTCAGGTGGTGCCCTCCTTCGTCGGGAAGATCATTCAGCCTCCTGGCACGAGAGCACACGCCAAAGTGTTCTATGCTAGCGATGCTTGCTGCCCAGCGTCGCTGGTTTGGCGAGTCGCTGCTCTCTAGAGCTCATGGTAGTTCTCGCTTCTCCTCCTGGCGAGAAGCGATTTACTTCCATGTCATAGTCAACGATTTTCCTGGCAAGCCCAAGGCTGTTGGAAACCCAGCTGGTGCGTCACGGCGTCATGGTGAGCCTTGGCAGTTGCAATGTTCGGATCTGCACTAGATCCCAGGATAACTTTCTCGGCGCATGCCCGCAAAGTTCAACGCCTATCCGAAGCCCGAATCCAGCACCCAGAACTATCTGTTCCCTCTTTTTCGCGTCTTCGGGGATTTCATGAAATCTGGCTGTCCAACTCCTTCGGAGCCAGTGCAGGTGGTCGGCAACACCTTCATTGGCAAGTCCACTAACATCCAGGTTCTCTCCAAGGCGCTCTCCAAGCTGCGCCAGGACGTGGTGAAATCTGGTGCCTTAGGCCATGAGGCTGGAGATTGAGCTCGGCGCAACTAGAGAATGCAAGTCAAGGTATGTACAGGTACCTATGCATGTATATGTGCATATTTATAATTATATATGTTTACATGCATACATGCATACATACATACATACATACATATACATTCACATTTGCTTATTTATACGGATACAGATACCGATATGCACATAGATATACGCATGGGTACGGGTATGGGTACGGGAATGGGTGTGGGTATGCATGCATGCGTGGGTGCATGCCATGCATGCATGCATGCATGCATGTAACTACATTACAGTAAATTACATTACGTTGCGTTAGATTGCAGTGCAAGGCATTGCATTAAGCTACATCAGGTTGCATTACACTGATACAATGCATACATTGCATTACCTTGATTTACTTTGATCTACATTGCATTAAATTGTATTACATTGTCTGGCATTGCATTACATTGCACTACATTGCAGTACATCTCATCCATTGCATTACGTTTTGTCACAATGCATGACGTTGTATTGCACAGTGCGTTAGATTTCGCTACATTGTATTGAATGGCACTACGTTGCATTGCATTTTGAATTGCATCACGTTGCATTGCATTCCGTTGACCCTACACAGCCGGGCATAGCCTGACAAAGCATGCCATAGCATTGTCCACACGCGCATGCATGCACACATACACATGCACGCGTTCACATATGCATGTACATAGACAGGTATGCTTACACATACTGCATGCTGTCATGTATGCAAGCATGCATGCACACAAGTATATTGCACCGGTAGTATATGTCTTTATCTTCCTGCCTCTCTGCCTCTCTCTTGTATATATGAGATGAACAGATAGATGCATAATTGCATAGCTAACCCCAGTCACCGAACTTGTGCCTATTCCAAGTGCATAATGCTATGTGATGCGCATGTGCAGACGGACCGAAACGTCGAAAGATTAAGATACATTCAACTAGACAGGGCCCGACGGCACTGAGCTGGACTTGTTCGAGCGCAGTCTTTGTCACGCGGATGTGTTGCTGTGTGTGTGTGTGTGCAAGATGTGTACAACTTTCGGGAGCAGATGGGGCTTGCTGGCTTTTAAGATGTACTGAATACCGCAAGCCGCGACTTAGTACGCAAGGCATCAAGATCCTTGAGCACTCAGGCTTGAAGTACCAAATCTTGTAACGGGATGTTAAATAGAGCACAGCTGTTCGAATGTTAACATGGTGCGGACGTTCGAATGTTAACATGGTGCGGACGGAGCCATGGATGCTGCAGCTGAGGCAACGGTGACTGGAATCAGAAACTTGAGAATGTTGTTGAGTCTAGAAGCAACTCTGGTGACGGTCGCAGGGTACATGAGTCGATCTTTCTCTTGCCATTTCAATTGCTCTTGATGCTTTTCTTCATCTTGTTGCTGATGCTGCGATGGTCGTGAACAAACAACAAAACAGCTGCCAACAGCCAACAATGTTGTTCTTTGCGTTTGGCGTTGTTTCCTGTCTGTCTGCACTTTGTCTTGTCTGTACTTGTTGTTTGTTGTTCATTGTCTATGTGTTTATTTTTGCTGCCTGCATTTGCTTGTTTGTCGTCTGCGTTTGTTGCTGTGTTGTCGTCGTCGGGGTTGTTGCGGTGCATGTCCTTGCTTCAAAGTTTGGTGTTCTGCACTTGTAGAGCGCTTGCACCAGACGGGGCTGGCGCGAGGCGTCAGTGCGGACGGTCCAGGTCACTGTGCGGTGCGGGAGTCCCTCAAAAGCTTTGGGAGTTCAGGCGTCCGGCTGGCTGCAGCGCAGGCAGGTGTGGTTTCGGATTTGACATCAGAGAGAATAGACGGTGCATCTTCCTAGTAGGAGGAATGCAAACTTCTTTGTGATAACAGGCTTGACCAGGCCTTTCTGTGCTGTTGAAGACTCCACCGCGGATGTCGTGGGAGTTTTGCTGCAAGTGGGCCATGTCTAAAAACATCAAGAGCATCGCAGGCCCATATATAGATAAGGATGGGGTAGATAAAGGTGCAGATATAAGTATACATACACATACATAAGTATGTTCCTAGATCGGCAAGTTCTTGTGCCGTAGCGATCGCGTCCGTGCATGAGCAGTGCTAAGCTAAACTACACTTTGGTCGCGCATTAACAGGCACTGTTCGATGTTCGAGCCTTTCATGCAGACACGCAGCTGCTTGCGGAAGGCGAACTTCGGATGCAAAGGAGAAGGCGGGTTGTGTGACTTACAGCTTGTGTGACGACAAGGGTCTCAGAATGGTAGAGTTCTGTCCTTGGAAGATAGGTTGTTTCGGCACCAAGCTACCAAGATAGAGCAATTCAATCTGTGTGATGATAGCCCGGAAGCACACCCTAATGCGATCACGTCATTTTAGTGCCAGGCAGCAACATCCAGGCCAGCCGCGTGCAGACGAAGACGTTTCAGCAAAGAAGCTGCTCTATAAGGTTTCGACGGATCTCCTGAGATCCTCGTAAACTTTGCCTTGATCTGCCTGCCACTACCTTCCGCTTCTCAGCCTGTTAGTAAGCATAGCTGCGGCCGTTTGAACTCGTCAGACGAAGCCGGCAGGGGTCGCTTCCGAAAGGAGATCGAGGAAGCTGAGAGGCCCGGCCCCAGCGTTTTCCTGCGGAGTTCACATCGGCTTTCCGCGAGGCTGACCTTCGGAAAGTACAACGGCCTGACCTTCAGGGAAGCCCTGGCGAAGCGTCTCAGCAAGCAACTCTCAGGATCAGAGGGCTCTCTCTTCGTGAGACGCGTTGGCCCGGCCGAGTGCGGCGAGGGATCCCGGCTATGCGCTCTGGTGCTCGGAGCAGCCGTCGCCCCAGAGCTGTCTTGAACCGAGTCCGACAGAGCAGTGCTGCCGACATGGAGAACTGTCCCTGGGCTTGAAGCTGCAGTGTAGCGAGCACATGCGAGCCTCATGGCGCTTCCAGAAATCATTGTCCAACATCTCCAGCGAGAGCCCCTTGCGAGAGCTTTCGGAGCATCGAAGCCAGGAGCCCAGAGCCCATCCGGGTCCCCCGCCCAGGTTTTCGACTAGTAGAAGCTGAAGCCACTATAGTAGTCCACTAGAGAAGTCTCCCGTGGCGATGTCCGCCACGGGCGGCTCAGGCCGCCCTGCAAATGGAGAGTTTCGGATGAAGCTGAGTCCGTGTGCAGTGTGCTGCGAAGTTCACTGGGACAACATTGGCTTTGGCCGTTGGCGCGCAGATAAGTTTCAGGGTCTCCTGTTTCGCGACCGTCTCTGAGCTCACGCGGCAAGGCGAAGTCGGGCACCATGAGAGCTACATGCTCTGCGAGTCTTCTGCCGAGAAGAATGAGCAGGCGAAGTCGGTGAGTTTCGGCGCACGGCTCTAGGATGCTCTTTTTGGGGTTCTTCTGCTCGCGGTTGCAGGGATGCTCCAATTCCACTCCTTTGAGCCAGTGGGCGAGCAGGGCCTCGCAGGCCGGGCCGTTTGAGCGGAGCGAGAGCGGCGAGAGCGGTGTGCTCGGAGCGGCTTTTCGGTGTTTGTTTGACACAGCTCTGCGACGCGGAGTGCTCGGCTGCTCAGCTCAGCGCTCTCTCTCTCTCTCTCTCTCTCTCTCTGCTTCTTTCGCTGTTGTGCCGTGCCTGCGCAGCTGCAGGACAGGGTGAAGTCTCCCAGCGGCGAGGTGACCCCGCAACATCGCCTCACGGTGCCTGGAAGCCCCACTGCGGCCGTGCCCGCCTTTCGGCTCCTTCAGGAGGAAAAAGAGTCCGGGGCTTTGCGCTTAGAGCTGAAATCCTCCGAGGCACTTATCGAGCCCGTGGTGTCCATGATGATCCTCGGAGTGCATTACAGGCAGGGCTCTGACTTCCTTGGAGGCCACGAGGCCGACAGGCACGGGCAAGGAGCCAGAGCTTGAATTCCCACTCAAAATAGGGTGTGAGTCTGCACCGGGAGAGTTCGAGGCAACTTTGGGGGTCTTAGATGCTTCCAGGGAACTGAAGGCCGTCTGGATGCTGCTGATGACCATGATGGTCTCGGGATGGCCGGAAGGATGACAGTGACGGTGGGGCTGTAACTTCTTTAGCTGGTGGTGGGCATTTGTGATGGCAGCTGTGGTGAAGAGGAGAAAACGAAGGCGAGACGAGGTGTTTGGGCATTGGTCCGAATCTTGGACAATCCTGCAAAGAGCGGCCGGGCGGCGGCCGAGCGCACCAGAATCGAATCGCAGGATTACGCTCCGAAGCAAAATGTGAAGCTTCACCTCTAGGCCTCTAGGCTGCTCTAGGCACCGATGTCATCTCAGGAAATGGAGTGAAGAGATTTTTTTGACCTCTAGGATGGACATCTCCGAGCAGCTCAACGCGCTGGCCGAGCTGAAACGCTCAATGGCAAGGCTGGGCCTAGCTGGGAGCTGGGCGTCAGGGCTCCAGGCAATGGGGCCGAGAGGCGCCCATGCACTCAAAAGCCGCGCTGAGAGCCTCGCAAGCCTCGTTTCTGTGTGCATCAGCCGAAGTTGCATGACCTGCAGGGTCGAAACTGCCCAGCAGCGAATTGAAACCTTGGCTGCTGAGAGGGGGTCTTGGGAAGAGGTCTTCGGATTCTTGAGAAGCCTCGTGTTCCAGTCCTGCCGTTGGTGTTGACACTGGCCGGACTTGTCATGCTTGTGTGTGTGTGTGTGTTTGCGTGTGTTTGCCTGCGTGCGTGAGCATCTATCTGTCGATGCAGAGGCTTGCGAGACCTTCGTGCGATTTGGGCTCGTCTGCCATCTCCACCGAGGAACTGGCGCTCTCGTATCAGGGTGGAGCTATGCAGGAGGTTGCGCACATAGTATCTTGGTGTGGAAGCCACTCTTCACGTTTAGGGATTCAGGAGTTGCATCATTGACGTCAA